CTTCAAAAGACACAAAACACACGTAATAATACGAATCAAAATGCATCATCTTCCAAAACGCAGGGTATTTAACAAAAGTTGACACAAAAATATAACCTATAATTTGGCAAGACTTTGACAAGCGTCAAAAATGACAAAAATCTAAAGGCGAATTTATACGCATCGGCGTCCGTTTGTCGTTCATCTTTCCGTCAAACCAATAAAATTGAAATACGATCTGTCATTTTTTAAATAAACCAATAAAAATGGTTAAAAACAAGAAGACACGACGCATGACGGATTTATATTTAAACCCATCCATAGATAACTTAAAAATTATTAGAAACTTTTTTTAGTAAAATAAATAGATTGGTATGGGACGTCATCTGCTTTTCTTCTGTCATCGTCTGTCGAAATCTTACCTGAGAAAAAAAACAGAGTATACATGGTTATTCATTATATTTTGACACCCACATAAACCATTATATAACTGCAAGTTTTAGAAGAAAACATTAAATAAAAAAGTTGCATGGTTTTTCATATACTCTCTTTTAAAATTAATTCTAGTTATACAGGGTGTCTCAAAAAAGGTGGTGCAGAAAATTGTAGGTATTTTTCGCTTTTCAACTGTCAATATTTCGTAAACATTTGAAGATAGGTATAGGATATTATACATGAAATATATCTAGAATATCTAGAAATTTCCGAAGAATCCAAAAATATATAGGGTCACTTAAAAAAGTAACTTAATTTTGGCATTTGCTTATGGGACACCTTGTATAATATTTTCATTACTGATAAACAATTTATTTCCTATAATTTCGTAAAAAAACAATCTTTAAAAATAACAAGGGTAAGGGGGTGTCAATGTATAAAAGGACTTTCTTTTTCACGCTATGCTCTGGAGTTCTTTTTCCACGTACTAAACAAATATTTTTGTCTCTTTTCACTTCTACATAACCTACAGCATTATCTCCATACGTCTCCCTACCTGATCTGAAAAATAAGTTTATAACATTAATTTATAACTATATAAAAGTTCGTAACAGTAGGTAGCTACTTATACTTAAATATGCCTCAGTACTACAAAGAATAAATGTTACATACCTCTCTGTTTTTTCCCTCGTAATTCAGCACCAATAAATTGGGAATTTGTATTTATAAAAGCAGCCAACAAAAAGCATCGACTTTTGGCAAGTTATCTGATTGTGCTTTTACAAACCCGGAATCTGTCATTACTTAAAAAATTCGCAGAACACACAACACATAGAAATAATAACTGCACAAAAACGCATAAAAAGCTCCTTCAATCAACGCTAAAAGCAACAAAAATGTCTTAGTACGCCACCTAAATACGTACATAAACGGAACACGTCTGGCTGCTGCTGGCCATCGCGCGTCGACGAGAACGGCGGGTGACGTCAGACCAATAGAATATCGTTTCAATTCGCGAGGCGTCGTTTGCGTTATCCATAGTATTTTAATGGCCCGTTTTATAAAATTGTGGTACTGCTTTCAAGAAAAGTTTTTTTTTGCATTTACACATATTTATTCTAATAAATTGAACAGTTTCTGGCGAAAAATAAAATATATGCATCTTTCTCATTGTACTACATGTCTGTAGCTATATTGTCCATAATGATAATTAATTTTAAAATGGCTGGGTGCTGGGTGTAAATAACACTCTTTTGCGCTCCATGTTTGTGCACGGCTCTTCCCAGAAAATGCGAACTCTCGGTAGCGCTTACACCGTTATAGTTGCTCGGAAAAAATTATAATATTTAAAATTAGGTCCACAGAGTTTATAAGAACGACAGTGAGTGAATGAACATACGAAAAAAAAATATTTGTAATTTCGATATTTGTCAAGCTAAATATAGCATTTTGCCGTGTGTGCGTCGTACAACAGAATTGTACAACAAAATTGAACAGTTTTGCAGAAAATTGACAGCGTTTACTCACGATCATAACCATTAGTTTAAAAGTGTTGTTCAAGCAAAAATGTCGAAAAGCAAAGAAGATATTTTGTTGGCAACAGCTGCCGTATGTGCATTATAAACTGGAAAACGCAAGAAACGATATCGCAAATGTAGGTGGTGATGTAAGGAATGGTTACTAAAAAGATCCGCTTATTCACATATTAATGTACTTAAGGGCAATTCCATGATTACTCACGGGACATTTAGAATAACACCAAAATTTTAAGACAGTGTATTTTGTCCCTCATATGGGCTGGGTAAAGCTTTAGGTTATTATTTTCACAGACAATGATTTGAATTACTGTTGTGATACAGAACAAGATATTGAAATTTATAGTGATTAAAACATTCAATAAAAATCTCTGATTACTCACTTGACATCAAAAAATTTGGATTTTTAAAATTTTGTTTTTAATAGCTTTTTTCTCTGAACCTATAAAAAATTAAATACATTAAGTGGAATTAGGAATTTACATGTGCTGAACTTAAAATTAATTTGCTATAGCTGTATTACAAGATACAGATATATATATTTGGGATATAAATAATTTGTTGATTACTCACGGGACATTACTCACGGGACACTACGATTTTAATATAAATTTTTATTTAGATTCAAAAAAATAACATATATTTTTGATAACTAAATAGAATAACATTGAACAAAATTTGAGTGCTTGGAATTAAACACCTTTTTAACCTCTTTTAACTAGATTCCATTTTTCATCTAATTTAATTTTAGCTGCTTCAATTTCATCGGAATTTATTAGGATTATATTAATTTTCAATTCTATTAATTTATAACATTTAATTTTCAATTATCTTAATTTTCAATTTTTAATTTTTTAATCCTCGGCATGTTTTTTTAAGATACGTTTGTCTTAAATTTTTGTCCGCATTAATTTTGTCTGGATACTTCTTAACGTGACTCCTAACTCGTGCCTGCCTCTAATGATTCTTAATTTTTGCCATTCTTAAATAAAAAGAACCTATGGCCGTTATTTTGGATTGATGTTTTCAACAATTATTTTTAAAAAAATACGATATTAAGTAATAAGTAATAAAACTGGCGATAAGTCTTGTAATGTTAGTAAAATTATGTTTTTTGATATTTTTGGTAAAATAATAAAGGCATTTCTTTAAAAATGTTTACAGCAAAATGTTAGCTGTAACTTTTAACTGATTACTCATGGGACAGTTTAAACAAATTTAAAAAAATATCTTTCCAAGAATCTTAAAAAAATAAGTTATATTGACAATACATGTTAGCCAATATACTATAAGTTTGATTCCCTTTATACGGGTTTTCTATAGAAATAACGACAAAAATTTAAAAACTTTTCGTTTTTGATTACTCACGGGACAAAAAGTTGAGCTATATTCGTAATTAAATTAAAGTAATTTTTACTTACATTTGGCACAAAAATACACCAGTACTCAAAAGCTTGATAACAATAGTAAATGACGCGCACCAGGCCCAGAGCTAGCGTTCTTTTGTTTTTCCATGGCAACTCTTCATATAAAATGCAATTATTAAAAAATTTTTGCAAGCTAATTCTAATAATTTATCCCTAAATTTTTTCGCGAAATCTGGCTAACTTAGATAATATTTTAAGAAATTTGATTCTTTTTGAGGCGTATGATGAGAGTTTTTTCAGTAATTTAATCACTTAAACTCACGTCGTACATGGAATTGCCCTTAAGTACCAATATTAGCGTACTTATCTACAAATTTACACAAATCGGTACGATTTTTACTGCTCCAGTTAAAAGTTTTGAACTGCGGTCTAATACAATTATTATTGTAATATGCATTTACATATACATTATATATGGATGTATATGATGTAAGTTATATTGTTATATTACTATAACATCTTTTTTTTGTGATGATACTTAAGATTTTTTTGTATTTTTTTCTAAATTATCTAATCTAATAATCTGTTCTAAAAAAAGTACCATACAAATATACTATACATATAGTTAATAAAGCACTAATAAACAAAATTTGAATGTTTCTAGAAATCATTATTACAGTTGGAGATTGAAATCTTTGGTGTTAGAACAGCAAAATAAAGCACAAATTCACCACAAATCATCAATTTAATCATCTGCTAATGATGCGAATATGGTTAGCAAAACGCGCGTCCAGTGCAAAAGTAAAGTGTTTGGTGTATTTGGTAGTGTAATAGTGTTTAATTTTGCTCAAATCAATATGAAAAAAAAAATGTTATGTTAGCTTAAAAAATAATGCAAAGCTTTTATAAATTCTTTTGATTTGTATTTCTTTTTTTACTCTTCTCATTCTATGATTTTAATTAAAAATAAATAAATAGGTTGATCATTTTTTATTTAAACATATTCACAGTTGGACTTGATTTCCTTCCTTAAGTTTAACTAAAAATCAGCAAATATGTATTGTTCATATCTCTTTAGTTTATTAGGTACCTTAAGTTTTCTACCTTTGAACAAATAAAAATACGAATTGCATAAGAATATAACAGTAAAATGTGGTAGAACTTCTAATATAACATTTGTACTTTAGTAACTTGAACAAAGAACTAATAATAAATGTAAATAATATCAATTATTTAATAATAAAGTTAACTATTTAATACTTGTCAATATATGAAAACTATTGTCAACATAAAAAAATAATAATAAAGCCTTTTAAAGTTATTTTGAATTTTGTTTTTTTTTTCTTCATTTAATTATTCGAGTTTATTTTATAAGTAAGTAGGCAAATGATTTTAATATTTCGACTCCTATTACTGTAATCTAACAAAGTATTTTAATATATAGTAATAGTTATCAATAAATTATATTCTTCATATCTCTTTAGTTTAATACCTTAGGATTACTAGCTCTAGGACAAACACAAACGTAAATTGCACAAGAATGTAAACCAGTAGTAAAACATGGTAGAACATTCAACATAATTTTAAATAAATCTGAACTCACTTCTACTTTAGCGACTCAAACAATGAACTGATAATAAATGTAAATAATATAAATTATGTTATGTTCTAAACTATTTAATACCTGTTAAGTTGTTTAGTCATAGATGTAGTATGATCCCTATCAAAATTCTTTGCTGTAGGATCTGGGCTATATCCTAGTTTAGTAACAAAGCCATGTATATATAGGGAACCATTATTTGCCATACCCTCAGTAATTGGAATATCTTTCTCTATTTCAAATATTCCATCTTTATTATTGCCTGCAGTCCAATCTCCATAAATTATATTTTCTTTAACCCAGAATAAATTTGAATAACTGTAGTTTTTAAGAGTCTCTGATTCAGACAAGTACACATATAATGTTAAAGGAGTGCCATCTGAAAAAATGTTCCTTGCTTGAATCGCAGGCCCTTGAGTATTATTTGCAGTCTGTGGTTTTGGTCCTCTGAAGAATGACGATATAAAATAAATAATTAATGCGCGTATTATTAGTGATTTAGCTAATGACAAAAACGATTCCATTTTTGTAGGTTGCCTCTGAGCTGCCGCTTGTCCATCAGGCTAAAAAGAAGATATTAAAAATATATCTTTGCGAGTTTAAGAAGCAACGAGCGTTATTTTTACATTTTTCATGTATTGTAAACGTGTAACAAATATATTGCTCCCAAAATATTCATTAAATAAAATCTTTAACTCACCGCGGTGGACGTAGAATCAGCAGCATTTTGAGCAACATTAGCCACTTCATTGTTGGATCCTGACGGAGTTTCTTTAATCGTTTGGCTCATTTTTAGATTTTTTAAAAAGAATTCAGTATGAATTATCAACAAATTTTATTTTTGTGCTATGCCATGACACTTAATTCCTATTTGATTTTGACACTACACCATGTGACATGATGTGACACTTAACATTTGACATTACACCTATTGTCAAATGTCAAACCGGAATGTATATTAAAGCAGTGCCTTCTATTAAAAGATCAGCCTGCGGGCGGACTTTTGTTTACTTCATCAGCTGTACATACTTAGATATTGGGTTAGATTCCGTTTCATATTTTGTCGGTTGATTTTTGGTTTTAACTCTTTGATTTTTGGTATTATTTATTATTGTAGTGCAAAAAACGGTAACCCAAAAAACTAATTATTTTGGTGTTGAAGTGACATAAACTACTACCAGATATATGGTCACTCTCGGTTTCGCATAAAAAAATAGAAATTTTAAAAATTACACGTTGTGCAAGTGATTTAACCTAAAAGTGCCCATACATTTTTTACTTATCGTGATTTTTGTGTGTGTTTTTTAAGACTCTAACAATTCATCAATAAAGCTTAAGTGGAGTGTGTTATTGGTGCTATGCCTCATCTTTGTTGTGTTCCTGGTGGAAAGGATAGTTATTATACTAGGCAGCCTAAAGTGTCGGAAGAGCAAGAAAAGTGGGTTTTGAGTTATAAAAATCAAAGAGAATTTTATTGAAAATATCTTTAATAAATTTAAAATAATATTCTCCCATGATGGTATTAATGAAAACTGGACAATTATGTTTATTTTATTCATATTGTGGAATCTCCACTCCAAGTGTTGCTGGTTCAGCTTCGATAGATTCAAACACGTAAGTAGGTATTATGAACTAGAGAAAATAAAGAATATGTGTATTAGAGATCATGAAAAAGATTATTATTTTGAGTTCAAATTTTAAAAGATTTTTGTAAAGACAAGACTGATACATTTTAAAGAAGAATGTGTTTTGTTTGATAATATATAATGTATGTTAAGCATAACATATATTTGTTCAGTAATTTTTAATGAATAGTATTGATTATTTATAATACCAAATTAATATCAAATATTTAAGTGATGGCTGAATACAATATGAATAAAATAACAATAAAATTGGTATATTTGCATAATACAAAATTAAGTTTTAAGAATAAAGGTATTACTAAAAATACTAAAATTCATATTTCTTTGTTTTAATTGGTCTAATGTTATTACATTTTACGTAAGAATTATACCGTATCATCGAAAAAAATCGGCGTCTAGTTGGCTTGGAAATGAACATCGATGACATTCCCTAAATAACTGTACACATAAAATAATTACTAGAATTTTACAATCTTGGAAAATTTGATATTCTTGAACATGATTCTAAATATTCTAATTTTTTGATTTTCTTGGAATTTAGGTTCAGGAAAATCGCTGATTGATTTTTTCATTTGGTTTTCATTATTTTTATTTGGTTTAAAAAAAACGGTTCGGCTAACATTATAGCCTCCATCAGTGTTGTGTCATATGAAAAAAATAGTGTCGAATATAATCCAAAAATTGCATATAAAATATTCACACCACGCACATAATGTTTACTGCGTACTCCATAGTCAATGTAGATAATTTTAGTGTTAAGAATAATAATTTTAAAATATGTGGTCATCTTTTGATAAGTTTATATTAGTTTATTAATTGCAGTAAACATTATGAGGTGTGAATTATATTGTATATGTAATTTTTGGATTATATTCGACACTATTTTCTCATATGACACAACACTGTGAAGGCTATAGTTAGCCGAAACGTTTTTTTAAACCAAATAAAAATAATGAAAACCCAAATGAAAACTTAATCAGCGTTTTTCCTGAACCTAAAATCCCAAGAAAATCAAAAATTTTAAATAATTTAACATATAAAATACCAGCGATCTTCATTTCATAGCATCGCTGACGCCTTTTTTAGATAATATTGTATTATTTGTAAATATAATTTTTCGAACATTGATACTTGCAAAATATATATAAATTTTGTGAATGCAAATAATAATACATCACTATTAGTAGATATTAAATGTTTTTTGTTAAATTAGATCGATTTTCAAACCCCAAAATTTAAAATATATTTACATTTTACCCATTATCTTATGTACCTATACATTATTTGTACATTGTAAAACATTTCCTGCATTTGTATGGTTCATAGTTTATTTGCCAAAGTATTTATTACTATAAATAGGTATATATGTTGTAGTTATTAACTGTATATTATATATATTTCATTTAAACTATATCATTTTTAAAATACAAACCAAAAATCTGAGGAATAATTATGTTTTCCATGTATTCTACAACATATTTATTAATCCGTTATATCTAACTAGCGTGACGTCATAAATCTCGCCCGTAGGCTGATCTTTTAATAGAAGGCACTGATTATCATCACCACCGCCAACCAAGGCTATTCAACCTTTTCCAATATGGCGGAGAAGTGCTTTATCTGCGCGTATTTTAAACTGTTTTAAACCCTGTTTTATTTCCAAATAGACATTTATCACACAAATGTCAGGTTAAATTACGTAATATTTCGCTAATTTTTTAATATACAGGGAGTCTAAAGTTCTCCACATAAGTATGGAATTTTTTGTATTATTACTTTTATGAAAACATCAGTTAGTTACTGTTTATAAAAAGGTCTGCTTTCTCAGAAAATAGGTAGATAGTAGGCAGTTTTCGAAACGCTTAAAAAGTACCACCGGTAGCCGCTAATTGACAAGAATGACATACGAAATGTCATTTAACGTATATCTCTAACGTCACCCCCCGCTATCTTACGGACGATAGACATAAGAAAAACGATAACGTTACGCATGCGCAGAAGTTGTAAATTTGTCTATCTTTTTCCCTCCGAAACTGGTTCATTTCATTTGACATTTGATTATGACATTGACAAACTGACAAACCCATAACATAACCTTATTTTTTAATAAAAACAAGATAGAAACTATGAAAGCTTTAAGATAAAAACCAATAAAAACCATGGCTAACAGTGTATTAGCAAACTTTAAAAGAAACAGAGTGCGATTTACCGAAGAAGATGATCAAATGCTCCTTACAGAAATTATTGAAAACAACCCCTATGTTGATCCTTCAAAATAGAATGTAATACACAATAATTTTTGTCAAGCTACCAACAGGAATATAAGTTTAAGAGGAGTGAGAGAACATGTGCAGTATATTATAAAGAATTTTGAAAAGAAAGACAGGGAAAATAGAGCTCGGTAAGTTATATTCAATCATTCCGTACAAGTTGCGTCATTTCAGATATAGTGTGCCAAGTAGAAAATTGTTTTAGATCTGGAATTGAAGAACCACACAACGCATTAGATCAACTGTTGCAGGCCGTTTTGGAACTGATTAATAGTATTGTAAAAAAAAAGAAACATTAAAAAATGAGAGCAGGTCATCAGAGACAGCAAAAATGTTGAGAGCGAGCTTAGCCAAAAAAGTTTTTCAATCTGACCCCGAGCTGGTGGTCTCAGAATCATCTTTAATAAATCCTGAGATAAATCCATTGTTTGAGTTTGATGGGGACAATTCCAATATCGAATATATATATGGTAATTTTTTTTCCAGCTGAATTTGTTCGGTGACAGCCAAAAATGACCAAATCATGTTTATCAAAAATGACCAAATCATGATCAAAATTACTGCCAGTAACTCATCCCAAGCAAATGGAAGCAGGCAGAGCATTACTGTATGTAGACGCGGAGTAGAGGTAATTCCAGTGGCGTGTGCGTGTACAACCTCTATTCCGTATCTCTACCTACTTCAGAGCACTGCCTGCTTCTGTTTGCGTGGGATGAGTCACTGCCAGTAATTTTGATCATGGATTGTGGTCTGGGATTTGTTGATGGTCATATTGTAACAAAATCCCATGCATAAAATTCTATAAACTTACAGAAACTATATCTTTTTTCTTTCTAGAAGGTACCAATGCCGATATTGCAATTATTCAAGATGAGCCAACAAATAAAGAAACCTTGAAAGAAACTGCAAAAGAGGCTCAATCAAACATAGAAGGTAAGTACAACGATTAAAATGGCGAGTAGTGAATTTTAATTTTCAATTTTAATTCAGGCCCTACCAGAATCAGAAAAAATAGACAAGCCCAAAAAAATTTAAAAAAAACAACATTACAATATTTGGAGGAGAAAAAAAACGATAAACTAAAAGTGAGAATGAGAGAACTAGAAAACGAGGAAAAAAGACAGAAAATTGAATCTCAGAAACTGGAACTGGAACGAGAACGGCTGGCTTTCGAAAAAGAAAAGTTTCTTATGGAAAAAGAGGAAAGACAATCTTTAATGGGTCTATTAAAAACTCAGCAAGTATTTATTAATAACATGCTGCAAAAACAATTTCTTAACGTTTTGTAGCAAGTATATTTCTCCTTTTCAGTTACCTACATTACCTTGCATTTTTATAGTACTCAGTAGGTACTAAAAGTATTCGTTGATCTTGTCTTTGCCTCTTTTTACTCCACTACCATTTATCAAAGTGACAAAAATTATTGGTGTATTATAATATCCATTGGTAGGTATTAATATAGGGTTTGTTTTCTTGTTTGTTTTCCATGTGACAAATTGTGTTTTTGTTTAATGTTTAAAATATATGAAAAGTTTTGTTCTGAAAGTTTATTTAGGTTTAGTTTAGAATTAACCATGTTTGCTAGACTGTCTGTTTTGTTTGATTTACAATTTTTTAGACGTTTACTACATCGATAAATAAAAATAAACATTACCTGAGTGTCTTAAATTTTTTTATTTTATCAATAGATACCCTGAAAATCAACATTTAGGTATTAAATAAGTATAATACAGACAAGTAACACAATATTCATTGGCTATTTGCACTATACTAAATACCTACAATATAGAGTTTTTAATTTGGCAATAGATTTTGATTTCATAGCAAATGATGCGAATAAGAGTTTTTAATTTGGCAATAGATTTTGATTTCATAGCAAATGATGCGAATAAACATTAATCATCACAAAACATGTTTCATTGGAGATATTCTTCTAATTCTATAGGGTCAATGTTAAATGATTTGGCTGTTTGATTACTATATAAACAGGTATGACAATTGATTAGAATAACTGCAGTACTATACATGGAAGCCACTTCTTGCAACAGTAATTTTTGGTTTTTTTTATAATCTAAAAATGCAAATTCTGCAATTACTTTCCCAAAACCCCATTCCACTGCAATTCGCACTTCGCTTATTCTCGCATTGAATTCCTGCTGTTCTGGAGTCATACCAGCTCTATTTGCAAATGGAGTTAAAAGCAACTCTCTTATACCATAGGCTTTATCACCATATATTATGAAATTTTCTCCATTAGGAAACCTAGCACTTCTCTCTAACTGATAGTAAAGCTGAGACTCTCTCAGAATAGCAGCATCATGTTTTCTTCCTTCGTAACCTCCTTTTAAGCTCACTATCATTCCATCAGGACACGTTAAAGCTTGATATTTGACACAATGATGCCTTTTATGTCCTGAGTAATAGGCCTCTTGATTTTCACTTGGCTTGCATATACTTCTTGCTGTTCCATCAATGAATGCCCACCAATTTGGAATTGGGGCTCCTTTCTGACTTATTGCATTAGCATATAATTGAAATCGATCCAAATTCAACCAATGGAGATTCCTTAAATTTGACAGTTTATGTCCAAAATTATTATAGATGTGATTAAGCATGTAGTCAATGATTTTGGACAATGCTGGAGCCGATTTACCAAACAAATATTCCAATTCGCTTAGTCTGTTAGGATAAGACAATCTTCTCAAAAGTATGCATAATCCTTCTATACCAGAACATCTATGTCCACTTCCAGTAGTTAAATCATTTGGAACTCTGAGTGCTTGCGCTAATCTTGGTATATCATCTTGCTCAAAACGGAAATATAATTTACACTCAGTTTCAGATAAATTGTTGAGATTAAAGGCCCCGTACATTTCAGCTCTATTCACATTATTGTGTCGATTAAACACTTCCAATAATAGAACATCTTCTAAGTCACTATCAGAGTCCGAGGAATCAAGGGCTGCATACTCCTCGTTTAACATGATACCTATATTGTTTAAACAGAAGAAATAGCAAAAGTTGATTGCTTCTTACTTATATTTGTATTATACACTAAATTAAGCTTACTTGGGACAAATCAAATCGAAAGTTAAGAATAAAATATTTTATAAACAAAAGAACGTCCTAGACTCCATAACTTAACGTTAACAGCAAGCGGGTCGCGTCGAACGATTCCGAAAACACTTTTATGGAATCTGTCAAATAGCGGCTAAGTTAAAGAATACGCCTATGTTAAGCGTCAAAACGAACACAACATCGAAAACTGCCTATTTATTCGTGTTTACGATCTTTATTTTATATTTTATAGCATACAATATGAGTTTAAATTTTTTTAATAATTATGAATATCGATTACGATTGTGGGATTGGAATAGAATAAGGTGCAAAATTGCCATTCACTTATTGTTAAAACATAGAAGAGAACCGGTTTATAGTTTATAGCACAGGTTTATAGGTCATTTATGGGTTATTTGGGACATGTGAAATATTCAAATTTCGTAAGCAACAAGGTGCCTGTCACAATTTAATTCAAGAAATAAGGAAAAAAATGAGAAAAAAATTAGGAATTTTCACAGATTGTCTGTATAGGAGTTTGATAACTTGGTTGAAGTTGAAAAATTGTCACGATATATATCAAAAACATATGCACGAGAACCAAATACGTTTAAATTATTTTAAACGTATTTGACTATGTATTTGACGAGAACCCCCCATTTCAACTGGAGAAATGCTTTCAAGTTACTTTCACAGGTTACTTTGCGACAGCGTCGTCAAAATAATCGATAACCGGATCACAACACCATTCTACGCAAACGCGAACCTTAAAATCGCGCGAATATTCGCAAAAAGTTGAAAACACTTTAATTTCCCGCCCCCCAAATTTTAAATTTTGCGAATCGCCAAAATCCTTTCCAAAATCTTAATATTTCTTTCCATCTAGATTTACTACCTTTATACAACTATCAGTAGTAGAATAAATAATAAATAACATAAAATAAGCTCCGTAAAGACTGACAAATCCAAAAAATTTCAAATCAAATTGAAATGTATCAAATGAATCGTCAAACAGAACTGTCAAGGATCCCCACCCTAGAGAGCTTTTATGGTGGCTTTTCCGCTCACCATGCATGAATCAGAGATATGGAAGTGGGAGAATGAGCTTCGACGAGTGCGCATCCAAATTTTTGTCGACGGCAAGATGGCAGACATCTTCCAGGTCTCGCTGTCACTTCCCCTCTTTAATTGACATCTGTTTGTTTTGTTTTTTTTTCGTTTGTGTTGTTATCTAGTTAAAATTTATTATTATCTCAATTATTCTAAACACTAATTCAAAAAGGCCTGTTGTATATTCATAGTCATTCTAGAAAGCTAATACGCCGGGAATAATGATTAGTTTTCATGTGTAAGTTTATACAACATAATCGTGTTTACAGATGATTCAAAACTGTTTATTTTTAACTTTCCTAAAGGCGATTTGTAAAAATCGTGATTGTAATTGGGAATGGTCAAAAATAAGTGTATGATGTGGCCATTTAAAGAGGATGTTTTTATTACGTGTGGAGGAAGAAGATACTTGGAATCAATGTTCGTGGTTCTGTAAAACAGTGCACTCTTATAGTGTCCATGAAAGCACAAGTTCAAGTGACCAGAAATATATCAAATAAGATTGGTCCTTACTTGACAAGAAGATTATTTGGAGGAAAAGAAAACATAAGATAGGGTATTTTAATCGAACAGCGAAAATTTAACATTTTTATTGTAAAGTTTGTTGTAGGTAGTTGTAGTTTTGTGCTAAATATTTCTAACATTAGCAGCGGCTGTGTTCAGAGTGTCAAGAGGAGGAGAATTCAGTTAATTAGATTTATGCACAGTTACAGGTATGAAGGCTTTTTCAAACATAGTATCGAGTTCTATAGTCAACATTTTTAGTATTCCTACAACTGTAAAAACAAGGAACATTGGACTGGAAAAATGGCAAGATTTATATAGAAAGAAAGGGTATTATGCCAATAAGAAAATTAAATCTGTAGGCAGAAGTTTCTTATTTAAAAACTGTTATGGGGCATATATTAATTTGTATCTCTGCCACAAATCACTGAGAAAAATCATATAATATTCATAATTGTTAACGAGATGATATTTAAAGAGTGTTAAAAATGAGACTATTAGTCATGAAGCTTACAATGTTACTTTGTTTCAATATTACACTTTTATTCTTGTAAAATCTATGATGAAGTTCAAAAGCATTTTGCAATGGCCTTAAATTGTGAGTTGTGAGCCAGGATTTATAGTAAAGGTATTTGATGCAATGAAACTTAATCGGTACCTTCCAGTATGTATTTTAGTAAGGGGATTGTCAATCCCATGTTTTTAAATAGATAAAATACAGGCCAAAGTTGACAATATTACAGTTGAGAAGAAACTATTTTATCTTAAAAAAAAATTTCTTAAAATTCTGAGATCATATAATCTAATTTTCTTAATAATAAATTAGGTATATGTACATACAGAATTTTGTTATGGACAAATAAGGATCGACAAGCTTCTTTTGTGCAAAAAATAAATGATTTTTTCTAGTATTACGACAAACCATAATGTGTTTTACAAACTTACCGGTAACAGTTTTTGTTTATAATAAAATATTTAGGAATAATTTGGGTTGTTTATCAATATATTAATGACTTGAATTTTGACAAATCGAATTTGTATCAAAATAATTTTACGAAATATAAAATTGATGTTCTATTACAAGATTGAGTTTTTATTGTCGACAAAAACCAGGATAAATACTAATAATAATACCCTTAATAAAATCAATGATGTTTATGTATTATGAAAATATTTGTTAGAGGACATGTTATGTAACAGTTTTTGAAACATAATTTGAAGGGACGAATAAAAAAAATAAAACAAAAACATATTTTTTCTAGGTTTATATTAAAAATACAAGGTAGATAATCATCAAAAATAATTATGAACCAAATGTTTTTTATGAATATACAACTTGAACAAAAAGTTGTTTAGAACAATTTTTACCAAATTTGCAAAAATTTTAAATTGAAACGCGTAATTCAGTACAAGTAAACATGAAATATTGTAAATACTTATTTAATATCATTTCGAGTGTTTTACGACGAAAAGGTCATCTGTCCGTAGCGTCTTTTGTCAGAATATTCGTATATTTAGTGTATTATATACCAATATTGTACGCAGTTTTGAAACTGATAATTAAATAAATCATATTAATGTTAACTAACCATAATGAATGATAGAATTTCACTAAATTTAAATTGCCCCCCGTATGGTTGAAAACAGCAAATTGATATTTGATTACTTATAGATTACCACCTATATACAAAATGACACGAAGACCTGGAATATGGCGCCCAACTTGATTAGACCTTTTGCGCATGTTGACGCTCATTCTCTATCCCTTCTATTTCTATGGCATGAATACATGGATAGCATCAGGCGGATGAAACTGCCATTTGAATTTTGGAAACACGGCGGAGTTTCTGCCAGTAGAGGGATAGATGGCGCTGCGTAGAAATTTCATCTAAAGTCCCTAGATATTCATCTAGGGACTTTAATTTCATCATGATTTTATCAAGTCATCCACAGAGTATAGTTTAATTAACAATTCGTTTGATTCTCTGTGGAGTAATTGGAGTAGTTGGAGTAGTTGAAAAATATAAATATTTATATATAATGTTGATAATTTAACAGTGATGTGCTTTGTTACCCTATGAATAAACATTGGTATGAAGTTGCTTTCGTCAGAAACAATTATAATTAAATAATTTAATAAAAATTTAATTTCTAAGTGACCCGGATCAGTTAGATCAGTAAAATAAATTGAAAAATAAACGTCATTCCATATTTGGCAATGTCTGTCAGTTTCTGTGAAGTGAGAGTGAATTGTGATTTGTTTTCATGGGAATATTTTACGGATTTTTGCGAATTTAGAGTATTTTGGACGATAGGATTGTGAAATTTAAAAGCCAAGTAGTTTAATATATAAGATTAATTAATCCCTGTGATAATTTTTATGAAATTTCTCATAATCAAAACAAATTTTTTCAACAAAATGGCTGTCTCAGAAATTTGGAAGATCATTAATTTTAAAGTTTTATTTAAATGAATTTATATCGAATCAAGAATTTGTATAACACATATTAAAAGCTTGATTTTAAAGGTTGTGCAGTAATTTATGTAAGTGTACGCTTTTAGATAAATATTAATATACAAATTTGCAAAGACAAACAAGTAATTTTAAAAAGATCATTTATTTATTTAAACGAGTATAATCATTAATCATTAGGTTGAAAATATATTTGTATTTACTTATTTATATATTTTCTATACCCTTGTATTATTTATAAGCCCTATATGTCCTGTTTTATTTGAAAAAAAAATGCTTCGAGTCATCGAGAATAGATTTAATAACAATTTTGTCCCTTGGCTTTGTGTATTATATAATGTGAATTGTAAGATGTTTCTATTTGAATAGGTCATTAAAGTTGAGATTAAAGTTATACCAAATTATATTCACGGTAACTATATGTCTTTTATATAATGAATTATTTATTTATAATTTATAACCTTTTTTATAATTACTTATAACTGATTGTATAAATTCTGATAACTTTTATATATACTTGTATAGTGTTGAATGTGTTATATGTAATTTTATTAACAATGTTATAATAAAATAATCAAGTTACAAATTTTTCGTGTTTTATTCTAATTTCAGGGATAATTTCAACCTAATTATTAATTTATTTGTATCAAAATACATTATTTTTTATTTTGTAAAATGTTTTGTTACAAATAAGTTCATAATCTAGATTGAAATTACCAAATATAAGTAAAAAACTTATGAACTGGCAGTAAAGGTCCATTTAAAAAAAAAAAAAAATTAAGATCAAAGAAAAAACAAAAATTTCAATCTTTTTGTGAAACATTAAATAGGGAATCTAGCATTTCATACGTTTGGGAAAAAATTAAAAAATTTTCTAATAATAACAGCAATTCTAATAGTTATAACATTTCAGATGATTTAAAACAACAAATTTTATATAATATGTCTAGTATATACATAGATCCGAATTTTACACTGTCGCCAACATATATAAATAGTAACATTCCTCCATTCACTAGTCAGGAATTTAACTATGCTGTTCAGGATAAAAATTTTCTGCACCTGGCATGGATGATATTTCTTATTCCATGTATAAAATTTACCATTGATTGCTAAAATTATCTTCTTAAAATATATAACAAATGTTTATTTGAAGGTGTGTTACCGGATTCGTGGAAGAAATATAATATTATTAATATCTTAAAACAAAACAAAAATCCTACTTTGCCAGAGAGTTATAGACCTATCGTATTATCTTCATGTGGTGGCAAAATTTTAGAAATTATGATTAAAAATCGTTTAGATTGGTTTTTGGAGAATAAAATTGTGTTTACAAATGAACAGGTAGGTTTTCGTAAGGGTAGGGAATATATGATAATATTGCTTATTTATCTACTTTTATTTTTGATGCCTTTAATTCGTCAAATTCAGTTATTGCTGTTTTCTTAGATATAA